TTTTGGCAAAGATTTCCTACACTGTTGGGTATATAAAAAAGTGTAAATTATTACCAATCACTCAGTGAGATAAAATAAACAGTAATCACCACGAAATTTTTCTCCCTTTGTTAATTACGATATCCTAAGAACCACATAAAATATATCAAGCCCTTGTAAAACTAAAGAATAAAGTGATTATGTCTTGCATGAAGGAGAAATTCCATGTTAAACATCAACAAGTTATTCTCTTACAAAAACTACATGTACACTTTCAACATAAGCGAATTTCTTTAGCAGTGACCTTAGGAAGCCTTATTTCTTTCATGGCAAACATCCGATTACTGCTTTCCTGCTGAACCAAAAGAGCTCTGCCAAAGGAGCCCTCCCCGATCACTCTCAGGACTACGTAGGCATCCATGCTGGGGCAGCCTCACAGCTGGGCTCCACTCATGCAGTCATCATGGGCTCTTCTTCTACATTCAAAAACAGAAACAACTGAGAAATAAATTTACTTTCAAAAGACAGAATGAATTCAAAGTTGTGCGATTCATCATGACAAGACAACTGCAACTCATTCCTTTTGAAAGGGACCAGTGTATGCCACCCCAAAATATGCCACTTCGGTGTAAGAATTGTTTTGAGCTGAAAGCAATTTACTCTTTGCCCTCCCGCTTTCTGTCTAAATGTAGGGCACACATTTTCCTATGTACAAGCAACAACTTTCTATTTGTAAATGTGTCTTCCTCTCCAGTACTAGAAAGAAAACAACTCGTATCAATGGGGAAGGCACCAACTTGAGTCTGCATAACAAACTTTACTAAAAAACTCTTATCTTGTTAGTTCCCACATATTTATCTTTCTACAACTTATCCTAGAAGCCCAACCTTCCCCCTTCCTAGTTCCTTCTCCATAATTTATCACTCTTTGTTAAAATGGTATATAAGCTCCCTGGTGTAACACTTCTTTACATTCATGCATACGTAATAAACTTTTTCTCCTGTTAACCTGTCTTTTGTTTGTTTATTTTGCAGGGTTCCATGTACTGACCCTAAAAGGGTGGAAAAAAAAGTTTTTCTTCTCTTCAAGGTAGACTCTCAGCACCAACTCTGAGTCAGATGTTATAATCCTGAACAAATCTCTCATGGTCCCTGCTATTGTGGACGTCCCACGCAGAAATAACCATAATCCTCAAAAAATGTAAGGTGGTGAGTCTTACAGAAAGATCTATGCTGGCCTGCAGCAGAAATATCCAGGGGAGTTAGGAAAATGATATTTAAGCTGAAGCCTAAAGGATGAATGGAAGTTGAATAGGCAAAGAGGAGGCACAGAGTGATCAAGGAAGAGGGAATCACATATTTAAGAACTGAAGAGATTGTGTTCAGTTCAAGACATTGAAAGAAGAATATAATAGGCTAATAAGGTAGACAAGGTCTTATCTGAAGGCCACTGTAAGCCAAATTTAAGTGGCTAGATTTTATCCTCAGGATAATTAATGGGCTGTGTCTGACGCAATATAAAACCATCATATTTGCATATTAGAAGAATCACTCACTCAAGTTGCAGATTGAATGGACCAGATGGTGGACGGGCAGGAAGCCAGATTAAGAGTCCAGTTAGGAGCCCCCACAATAGGTAAAGCAGGAAAATAACGATGAAATGGAATAGGGTGGTGGAAATGGGGATGAAAAAATGGGAAGGAAATATGTAGTAACAGTTGACAAGTTGACAAGATTCTTGGTGATAAATTTATGCAGGACAAGCAGGGAGAAGGAGGCAAGGTTGATTCCCAGGTTTCTGGCATGAACTGGATGAATGGTGACACCATTCCTAAGAGAGGAAAGGCACAATGATTGTTATGTTTGGTTTTTTGTTTGTCTGATTTTTCTGGTGGTGGGAGTGTGGCAGGGTTGGTGCAAGACATGGGGGAGAAGGCAGATATGTGTTCCTATTTGGCCATGTTGAGCTGGAGGTACCTGGGACTCAGGAGAGATATTAACACACATCTAGAGTCTCTGACTTCAGCTTCCCCTTCTACATTTCCAGGATGAAACAGCTAGTAGGACTGCTTCATACATAAGAGAAAATGAATAGAAAGTTCCTGGGCCAGGTGCGGTGGCTCATGCCTGTACTGCCTGTAATCCCAGCACTTTAGGAGGCCGAGGCAAGAGGATCCCTTGAGGCCAGGAGTTCAAGACCAGCCTGGGCAACATCACAAGACACTGTCTCTGCAAAAAATAAAAAAATTAGGTAGGTGTGGTGGCACACACCTGTAGTCCCAACTACTTGGGAGGCTTGAAGCCCAGGAGTTTGAGGCTGCAGTGAGCTATGATTGCACCATTGTACTCCAGCCTGGGCAACAGAGCAAGACCCTATCTCTAAATGAATGAATGAATAAATAAAGTTCCTAACACCTTGCCTGGTACACAGAACGTGCTGAATAAATGGCAGCTATTATTATTATTAAACCTTAGAAAGATGATGCATTTTTTTAATTACAGGAAAAAACATTATAACGAATACTTGAGTTTTCGAAAAGCTTACCTACAGTGTTTTTTATTTTTCTTTAAAAATCACACCACAAAGAATTATAAGGCAGAGAAAGCATGACAGGTAAAGCAAAAGCCACAAACTAAACCCTATAATATAATGACCTATAAAATTTCCAGTTTGTACTCCCGCTTATCATAGAATTACCAGGAAATCCTAGAAATAATTTCTCCATATAACCAAATCAGATGCACTGTCTTCAAAAACAATTCTTTTCAAGAACATTTAGATCTTGGAGTGTGTTTAGGCACGTCAAAGAAGT